GTGTGTGTGTGTGTGTGTGTGTGTGTGTGTGTGTGTGTGTGTGTGTTAGTCAGGGTTCTCTAAAGAAACAGAACTGGTTGAATATAATAGTTGTTGAATAAAATAGTTGTCTCACACTCGAGAGGCCAAGAATCTGGATGCTGATAGTTCACAAGCTGATGTCTCAGCAGCCTCAGTCTGATGCCAAATGTCTGGAGAATGCCTAGAGAGCTACTGGCCTTCAGTCTATGCTGCACGCTTGAAGAAACTGGTTCCATTATCGGTGAAGGAATGAAGCAGCTGCGTGTCGCTATTGGGAGGGCTCCTGTTTCACACAGAAGATGGATGAGCCCGTGATTTCACACCACTGCCTCACACTGTGGGTCTCGGTGGATAGATGAGTTCTGAAGACTCTCCTCCTAGTAAGGGATATGTGAAGTGGATACAGATGCTCCTCTTCTATTTTTTTTCCTCAGCCCCAAGGCCCAGACCAACTGATGCTGTCAACACATGCTCGAGTCCTCTTTGGGTGTCTCTGGCATTACTTCTCAGGTGTATCACTGTGATTAGAGAGAGGAAGAAGAGGTGAGTCAAGACATCTCTCTGCCAGTCACCCTGCAGTGTCCTGACCAGTAGGTGGAGACATGTGCCCATACTCCCTCTATAACAAACAGGCCAACGGCCCCTTCTCAGTAAGCAGGGAGAGAGCGTGAGCATCGGGTAGTTTAGAAACAGCAGCAGACCATTCTGTTTGTCTTCTTAGCACTTACCGTGAACGCTGACGTTATCATGATCCCATCATAAGATAGAAGGATTTGGGTCTGTTTTTCTGCTCAATCTGATTTTTATTACTTTAATTTTTTTCAAGAGGAATCTTATGGGCTCCTATTGTTTACAACCTATACCCAGACACTTGCTTTTAAAGAAAAATGATTTATTTTTATTTAAATGTATGTGTGTGGATTGGTGTAAGTTTATGTGTACCACACGTGTGTCTGGTAACTTGTAAATACCAGAAAAGTACATCAGATTTGCCCGAACTTGAGCTATAGGGAGCTGTGAGTCACTTGATCTGGGTACTGGGAACTGAGCTCGGGACTGTACAAGAGCAGCAAGTACCCTCAATCACCGAACCATCCTTCTTCAGCTCTCAGCAATCCCAAAAGACTTCTTCCCCAGGCCCGGACGTGTCCAGACCGTTTGATCCACTCACTTGAATCCCAGCATCATTCTCGCCCCTGGCCTCCCCCACTGGTCAGCACCTGAGACATCCACTCTCCTCTTCTGCACCTCATCACTTGCGACTAACAGACCCCGTTCTGCGCCCTCCTCCTCGGTGCCTCTTCTCAGCCGCCTCTCTTCCCAGCTTTCTTGTTTCTTCCTCCTCATCTCCCTGACTCTGAGTGGTGAAGGGTTTGGGGCATTTTCTGTGCATTCTCCTTTTGTTTGTGGTTTGGTCCACTTGAAGGTCTTAAGCTGGAGAGTGCCCAGATTCTGTCCCATGTGGAACCATCTCTTGACTCCAGATTTGGATATCTCATCTTGATCTCCCCATGAATGTCTCAGAAGCTCCTCATTCTTGTAAGAAAGTGGTGGTGACCCACTTATAAGGCTGAGAAGGCCAGTCACTGACAACTGAGCTCTTTAAGTTACCCAGAGAGGCCACAGCAGTAGCAGCTGTGATTTTTATGATCACCTTGCCAACTGTAGACATCTAGGGAGTCTTTGATGTCTCCAACATCTGTGAGGTGGAGACACCGAGCTGTCTTGGCTCAATGCCCTCAGGTAGGCTTCGGCTTGATGGTGTGGCATCAGTTTATTCAGAGTCTGAGCTCCCACCCAGGTCCATCAGTGGGACCACGGACTGTGTTGTTTTAGAGACAAAAAATCTCACTATTTAGCTCCAATGAGCCTAAAAGCTACAGGCCAAGTGCCTGACCTCATGAGTATTAACTGCAAAGTGTGTTCAGAACTGGCACAGACAAGCTCTGAAGCACTTTACAGATCACGAAGTGGTAGAGGGCAAGGATGGAGAGGGGCTGGGTCCTTGCTGGGTTATGGAGCATAAATGACATCGTGAAAAGCAGACCCAGTGGGATGGCTACTTTTGCTTGTCATGTTGACACACCTGGAAAGAGAGAAACTCATTTGAGGATTGCCTCCATCAATTTGGCCAATGGGAGGAGGGGTCATTTTCGTGATTGTTAATTAATAGGGGAGGATCCACCTCATTGTGGGCAGTCTCATCTTTAGGCAGCTTGAAGGGCTCTCTAACTGGCTCCAGCATTGCAAACATGGCGCTGACAGCTTTTGCTCTTTTCCTTTCCTTTCCCTTGCTAAAAACCGTTAGATTACATTCCTAAAGCTACCCCCAAGGTTCATTCCCTTACTTGGCCATTCCTGAGACTAGACACACAAACAAAAACAACAAAACAGAACAACCCTCCTCTGCTTTTTGCTGCCTGCCTTTGCCTGACCCAGAGGCAGCCCCCCTCCACACCCCCAGTTGCCCTCTACCCCCACTTGTCCCTCCAGGGTAATAAATCTCCTCTGTGCTGGGAATTTGGTGTCTGGGTATGTGCTGTACCGACTACAGTCTCTCCATCCCAACCTTTACATGGGGGGATCTGGGCTGTATACAGAAGAAAAGCTGAGCAAGCCGGAGGAAGTCAGCAGAAACGTAAGCAGAAGAAGCGAGCATGGTCACCACTTCAGCTCCGGCCTTGACTTCCTTCAGTCAAGGGTTTTGGCTGAGGAGTTGCAAATGAACCTTTTCTTCCTACAGTTGCCTTTGGTCATAGTGTTCTACCACAGCAACATGCAAACATCCTATGCAGTGTGGAACCCGCCATGTCCTTCAGGGAGCTCCGACACGCTAGGCCTTCTAGGCTTGTACCTCACAGTCCCATGTCCAGGCAGCAAGTAGAGACAGCCTAAACCCCGGAGCCAGCTTCAGTCATTCAGGGTGGCTGTTCTAACCGGCGGAGCCTGCCAGCCACATCTCATCTATTTCCTCCCCCAAAAATCCACACTCAAGACTCTAGTCCACTCTCTCTCTACATATGTGCACACTGAAGACAAGCCCTGGTCTCAACTTGTGTGGCTTCATGTAACCTAGGATGCACACGTCCCCTGGGATCCTTGTCATGTACGGCTTTCTCATTGGTTACTGTTTCGTGATTGGAAACCTTCACTGTGCCTGAAGAGAGTGGACGGAGCTGGTGACATACATAGATCTGAACTGCTGTATGGGACAGCAGCATAGGCTCAGGAATTTCCTGCGAGATGGTGGGGTCCGAGGATATACATCTCATTCATCCAGGATGCTGGCCTGGTGGCAGGTGAAGAGTTTATTACCATTACCATCCTGGCTTCTTTCTTCCTGAGAGCCTTCACTCTTTTAGCCTGCTTTGTTCAACTAAGGGTCATTGCGTGATCTTTGAACACGTGATCAGGCAGGTCATCTAGTGGCTCTGATGATGCAGCTATACCAAGGACCTCTTCTTGCCCCCTCTTCTGGACATCCAGGGTATACCCAAGCTTAAGTGGCTACTGCCTGTATTCTCCCAAGCCCTGGCCATAGCTCCTTATAATCCCTCATCTCCATACTCAGATCCATGAGCAAGACCAGGCAGATGCAGATTGCAAGCAGGGTTATGACACCAGCTACTCCAAAGGCTCCCAGAATGACTCCCGTAGATGCTTTAATGCCTGGATTCCCTGCTGAAGAAGAGGCATGAAGGAGCTTTGACCTTCAAGCAGACAGGATTGTGCTCCTCTTCCTTAGTGTCTTCAGAGCCCTCATCTCTGCGGTGGGATTGGGCCACTAAATTCCTCACTATCTGAAGGATCCAGTCTACCTCTGATGCTGTTGTCCATCAGAGTCAATCTCTGCCAGGACCCATATTCCCTTTACACAGGATTCTTCTGCAGACCAATAGCAGGACACAGGTGGTCAATGAAGCCTAGTACCTAAGAGGTTTCATTAGAGACAGTGTCATGGACAGATTGTACATGAGACAGTACAGAAGAAAGAAGGTTTGGGTCACCTCTTCTTGTCTTCACTGTATTGTTATTCAGTATGGGTGTGGCCCATA